CACTTGAAGTCCGAGCGCCCTTTTTTTTGACGTCGTTCTTTATTCTTGTTGTTGTGTGAGCCGGGTGGCCAGATGGAACGTGCGGAAAAGTTAGCGCCATGAAGAGCACATTGGCAAAGCGATCAGAACCTGAGGGCTCTGGTGAGGCTTTACCCAAGGATTCTTACAAGCGATTAAAGAGTATAAATGGGGATAAGGCATCAAGCAAGCATCACACCTTGTGCAACGAAGCAACTTGCCCTGGTTGCAGTACCGGAGAGGTAGAGATCTGCTTTGTAGGGCCCTCCGCGGGCGGGGAGTCAAAGGCGATTTCGCCTACAGCCGCGGATCTCTACCGAATGGCACTGGAAGAACGGGACGGCGTGTCAGGCGAAACGGAACCAAGTGGATTAAAACTACAATGGAAGGGAGTGGAAGAAGAAGATAAAGATTCGGAAACGAAGCGAAAGATTATAATCAAGTTATTTGAGATGGGTGTTGAAAAGTTTTCGAGTGAGACGGGTATACCTATTAAAGCACCTGAGGTGAACGGCTCCAACGTCTCCACGGCAGCCGCTACCAAGAATGGGGACACCCAACGCCCGGGATCTGAACGCACGGCTCATGTTTGCGTCGTGTATGCTCGATTTCGGATGCTATCTCCCCCTCTCACTCTACATCCAAAGAAGTGTAGACCTGTTTACAGAGTGTATTCAGATATTGGAAGGAGCAGGAACAGCTTATTTATCTACATGGGGCGCGAGTGCTGCACAATTTGGATTGGGAAGGGCAAAGATGGAATTGGTGCGGAGCCGGTACACAGACCTTGATGACGAGGATGATGATCAAGAAAATGGAAATGGCGAGTCCCACTATGTGATACCGCAGGATGAGCTCGCATTGGTTGAATCGGCAAAGGCGACACTTGCCAAGGTTGGTATAGCAGATGAATCTGTGCCCAAGTACCCATGCTTACACGTGCATGTAGGGACTTGCATCCGTAAAGAACGATGCAGAAGCGTACGCGCGTCAGTGTATTTATGCAGCCGGGCTGTTCCGCGACTACGCAGCCGTCCAACGACAAAGACCCACCAGCAAGCGCTGTAAGTTTTTAGTCGAGTACTTGGTCATACAACCGACATCTGAACCACGTACTTTAGCTAGCACCAATCTATTGTCTACACTCCGCACCGCACTCGACTATCTCCAACAGGCCGAATCAGCCAGTGGCCCCTCTGTCACCTCCAATGTCCATGCCTTGGGCTTACGTGGTGCTTGTCTATACTACCTGGCAGACCACTACGCCAACGGTGAAGCCGAAGCAGATAGAAAGGAGACATCCAAATACGTGACAGAGGCCGAAGCTGCGTTGAAATCCGCTGTGACACTTTGGGATAAGATGCCAGATAAGCAAGATGAGCATGGTACAGAGTATCTACAATTGGTAGGTGACTCGTAAATGTCTTTTCACGGCGATGAGGTGATTGAGTGGTTTGGCTATTAGTGGGGTCAGACACTGATTCTCCTCAGCACGATCGAGCCCGACGAAGAAGAAGCCGTCCAGTATTTTGAGACGGGCGTATCGACATTGAAGCGTGCCTATCAATTAGATCCAGGTATATACAAATGACTATGTGACTTTGCCTGTGTTTATACTATTTTTAACTATGGGTACAGGCAACGACGATTTGGAAGAACAGTTGGAAATGTTGGGAGCGATGGATGGAGGACATGGTGATGAAGATGAAGATGGGTCTTTGCATGGTGATGAAAATGGGCAAGAACAAGAACAAGATAAAGAGTAAAAAAAAGGGCTGGTTCAAAGCACATGTACAATTCTATTCAAAACAAGTCAACATTGTCCCAATTCACGACGCAAAGTCACTCTTGTGTGCTGCACATTCAAAGTGTGCATTGTCAGACGGCAACGTGAAGAGCAAATTGCTCACAAAATGACTCTAAGCCATCATCATGCCCGCAGGCAGTTAATCCGCCAACTTCCAATGGTAAAACTAACCATGGTAACTCATCATCCTCGAGCTCTGTGGGGATCACGGGATTATGAAGAGCGTACGACACAATCCTTGCCCATTTCTTCCTGTTCTTCTCGTCCTGATCTCCCTCTTCCTCCCCATCCTCATTCCCATCCTCATTCCCATTCCCATTCCCATTCCCATCTCCATCCCCGTCCCCATTCCTATTATCAACCCTCTTCTCATGCTCATCTCCGTCCTCATTCTCATGTCCATCCCCATTCCTATTCCCAGCATCTCCGACCTCACCATCCGGCACATATTTATACCGCCGCCCATTCCAGTATCGCCAATGTAGCCTCATTAAACACTTTTTCTCATCACCAGTGAGCGTTACTGTGGCAGGCGTACTCCCATTTTTTAGTTGCACAAAAAGACCTCTTACCGGGATAGAGCAAGGAGCATTCCGGCGGATACGGTCATCACGAAACAGGACTCGACATCTGATCGGGTGGGAGAAGTTTATGTATGAGCCTTCGCCACTGAAGGCACCCGGTGGATCTGGGTGAATTCTTTCGGGAGGTTGATTGCAAAGACGGGGAGAGTCGGCCATAGGTGCATATCTGGATGGGCACAATGGGTTCCGATTGCATATGAACACTGTTGCAATATTCGCCTCCTCATCATAATCATGTACCAAGACCGGGTGATACTTTGGATCTCGATAACGTCTGTTTGGAGGATTCGACGGGTCAACCGCGTCAAAAGAGACCACTAATTGTGGGGATGTCGGGGTGACCAGAAT